GAGTTTTGAATGAGCTTAATTCTCTCAAATGTGAATACAGCATTTCTCTTATTGTTTTATGGCTTGTTTAACTTTAAGAAATTATTGCTCATCCAGGTAAAGTTCATAGCTGCAGGATCATTTTGCTCAGCAGAGATGTGCAGGTGCGTGTCATCAGCATAACTATGGAAACATACATTGTGCTCTCTATTGATGTCACCTAGTATGTATGTATGCACAAGCATGTATAGTGAGAATAATAAGGAACCAAGGCAGCTCACTTGTGCAACCCCAAAACAGATGTTATGTTTCTCAGACACATGATCTCCAAGCGTGACTTAATGTTTCCTCCCTTTGATGTATGTTTTAAACCAGTTTAAGTACCGCACCAACCAACTTTTCAAGGCGTTTGATTAAGATATCACGGTCTATATACTCAACCACTGCACTTAAAACTCAGAGCACAAGAATTTAGACCTTATTTTCAGTTTAGTCTGAGGTCGCAGATCATTTTAGTAAGAGCAGTGTCAGCGCTGTGGCATTTTCTAAACCCTGGCTGATATTCCTCCAGGATATAATTTTTTCACTGCAAATAAGCTGAAGTTTTATTGCACTGAAACTACCTTTCAAGCATCTTACTAATGAATGGAAGTTTGGATATTGGCCTTTAGCTGGCCAACGCATCGGTTTCCTTTAGTAAGAGTTTTACAGCAGCATCTGGGAGGATGCCTGTTTGAGGAGATGTATTTATAATTCTCAGGACATGACTTGAAACACTGTCGAACACCTGCTTAAAACATACTGTAGGTGCAGGATCAAACATGAGGTGGAAAAGTTACACTCAGTGATACTGAGTGAAAGCTCAGTTAATGTGAATTTTCCCATGGTTACCTCTTTTTACAGGGTTTGCTGAGGTCATCTGTGTTTACATCAGTAACAATTCTGGCTCTAGTTGTTCAGTTATTTGTTATTAAAGAACAATGCAAGTTCTTCCCAATTTGATGGAAAGAACTGCGAACGGCTGTGGGCAATGGACAGCAGCTGGTCAATAGAGGAGAAAAATATTCAAGAGTTTCCAGCATTCTCTGAAATAACCTTAAAAAAGTAATCCTTTCTTGCCAGACACATTGCTCTATTACAGGCAGTCTTGGCGTCTTTGTATATATTACACTTAACTGCAAGACTAGTTTTCCTATACAGTAAATTCACAAGCTCCATAGCTTTGGAGTCATTCCTTTTATTAATATGAATATTCAGGGGCCCATTAAGATTTCATCCATCATATCTAGTGATACAAAGTGAGATTAGCTCTGAGAATTCCTGCAGAAACAGCGATGAATATCTTGGTGGCCGATAAAATGTAATAATGAGCTCTGATAGTTCAGCACTGGGTTCAAGTGCAAGATATTCAAATGGTTTATATTCACCCAGGTCAATGCCACTAAACACAAACTGTGTAGAGCAAATGGCTGCAATCCCTCCTCCTCTCCTGTTTTGTCTGACTGACTGATTAAATAGATAGCTTGGAGGACAGGCATGCTGTTTAGCTAAGTCTGTAATTGTAACAGAGACCTTGGGTGGTGTGGAGCAAAGGATCAGGAGAGGGGCAGAGATAGAGATATCCGCCTGTGTCTTTTGAACTGATCCGTACATTCTTGTCTTGGTATGGCATCACGAGAGCATGACGTAGGTTGGCACCAAGTTGTCTGGATCCAGTGATGTTTGAATGAACCACATCAGGTTTAAAGCAGTCTTTACAGTTCCAAAAGTTATTGAAATTGTCAATAAACTCTATCCCATGGGTGAGGCACTCCGATGTCAGCCATGTGTTCAGGCCAAGGAGTCTGCTAAAAGATTTGATTCCTTTCCCCAAAGTTGGAAAGGTTCCTGAAATGAATAAGTGATTGACAGTTGCTCAGTTTTGCCAGTAACAGGCCAAAGTTCTTTTTCAGAATCTGAGCCAGTTTTCCGGTGCAGACTCTCAAAAGACCCAAACGTGTATAATCTTACTCGGATGTGTAGAGCGGATAACTGGCAACAGCCCTGTTTGACAGATGTGTCAGCCATTGTCAGATTTTCAGGCGTTACTGTTCTTACATGCTTGGTTATAGAGTACCCAGTCAGAATAGCGTCTGGCTTATCAGGTGTGTGTGTGGGGGGGGGGGGGGGGGGGGGGGGGTTGGTTAGCATTAATATTTGTGGTGTGATTAGCTTTCCTGGGTTTAACTTAGTTAACATTTCTGGGTCAGTGGATCATACCTTTTAACTTTATAGTGATAGAACATATTAGGGGAAACAAACCTTTTTAAACATGAACAACAATTAAGCTCACTAATTGACATATTACAGCATATATTACAGTCCTCCCAACTAATGCAAATTCAACAAATCCCTGTGAATTCAGCGCAATTTGCAATTTTGACCAATTAACAAAACTTTTCCGCAATTTTCACCTATTATTGGACTTTTTAATGATTTAATTATAATTCTAAAGTTTAAAGGAAATCAAATCTACCTTTGCAGTTTTCAGTTTGGTCACAATTTTGCCACAAAAAATGCCCGAAAACATTACAACTTTCATTGCAGTTTTTTGAAAAGCTGCCACAAAATCTGGCATTTTAGATCACAACAATCACAAAAAAGACCCACGAAATCCTGAAGGGATTGATATTATAATCCAATATCTTAATGGGTTCTATTGACAAATTTGTTAAACATGAAAGGATGAACAGTATCTGCTGGTTGACATTCCTGCAGTCAGCATGCCAATTGCACGCCCCCTCAGAATGTGCGACATCTGTGGCATTGTGCTGTGTGATGGAACTGCACATTTTCAAGTGGCCTTTTATTGTGGCCAGCCTAAGGCACACCTGTGCAATACCCATGCTGTCTGATCAGCATCTTGATATGCCACACCTGTGAGGTGGATGGATCATCTCAGCAAAGGAGAAGTGCTCACTGACACAGATTTTGACAGATTTGTGAACAATATTTGAGAAATAGGCCTTTTGTGTACATTTGTGTAGAGAAAGTCTTAGATCTTTGAGTTCAGCTCATGATGAATGGGGGCCAAAACAAAAGTGTTGCGTTTTTTATTTTGTCCACTGTGTGTGTGTGTGTATATATATATATATATATATATATATAGGGTCAATGCCAGTGATTTAGTAGTAGCTAATTATTATTGGGTTGGTCCAAACACGTGTTGCTAAATCACTGGCAGAAAAAAAATTCCAGGTATTACTTTTAATGTTAACATGTGAAAATGTTGGGGATGGTGGATCAAGAGCTAGTGCCATTGAAAACAACCAAGTACTATACCTGTAATGTACATAGCAAATGTCATAGAAATCTGGCCATCACTTTTTTTAAATGCCTTGTTATGGACCGACATACTGTCCAAGAGTCTGAAAGAAGTGCTAAAAAGAAGTGCTAAAGTTCAGAGGGTCAGCAATGTCATTAGGAGTCATTCGATGGGGGCCATGAACACCATTACAAAGCAATCTTTCAGGTAGTTGTCATGATTTCTCGCTACAAAAGACCAAGAGACTGCCCAACATTACAGCCCTTAAGGGTTCAGTACACTTCAAAAGAACTAGTTCGCATGTCTGTCGTCCTAAGGTGTTTATACCCACTTCCAAATGGCCACACTCAAAGGCAAGGTGAAAACCTGCCATCATAACCTCATCCTGGCTGCACCGCCCTACCTCCTTGATCTCACCTGGAATTCTGGGTCTTTGTTGTCTCTACACAAAGAATCATACAAAAACGGGGATAATGGTGCATGCACAGTCTTTCCTTGAAAGTGTTCACGGTGCTGCATTCTTCACTCTTCAGTGTTTGCATATTTCAGAAAGTCGAAAAGAGGCTTTAAGGTGCTGTTAGACAACCCAACAAGCACCTGGTTAGAAGCATATTGATGCCTTTATAATACTCGCAAGCCAGTACAAGCAGAACAGAGGGAATATAAATTGTACCTACAAATAATTTAGATGACAATTGTGAGGTGATACACTAATAAACACGGTGTGAATTGTTACAGCTGGTTATGTTTTGCGTGAAGTGGCAGGCGGTCAGCTAGGCTCATTTCATGCCACTGGATTTTATATATATATAATATGAAGGCAAACGACAGCACTTCCTGTTTAACCACAAGTCTGGTTACTTAATTAAAAGCTCTATTATTTGATACCTTCATTCCATCTACTATCACACTGTTCCCGTGAACTGCCCAGACTTGTTCAGCACAGGCAGCCAGGCCTTGCTACGATGATATGTAAGTCAGTTTCACTTGCATAACTTCAGTTCACACACACACCTGTGAACACAATGCTGCAAGTGGGAGTGCTTGACGTGGGGTTAGGTGTCCTCAGGGCATAAAGTAGCTTTGTCTCACATTTAAATTAATAAAGAAAGATATTTCTACAATGCATTACATGTTACCCAAATAAATCATCATCATAAATCATCATGACTGGCTGCAGCCCAGACAATTGGGTGTACTGGCAGCCCTACTGCTTACAATGCAAATATTCTGGTTTGGTGCTAAATTCATAACAGATTTGTTTTGCCAACTTTGTGGAACAAGTCAGGATGAAACCTAAAAACATTTGATCAAGAGGTCTGTATTAGCCAACCTCAGTTGTCATTAACACAGAGTACAAATGTGTGTAGTATAATCTGCTCAGAGCAGTTTAGAGATGTAGTGCAAATTGCCATGGTAGCAGACCAGGTAAAACTTATCCACCTATCAAAGAGCAGGGTTAACCGGGAAGTTTCACCCAACGTCACAAAGTTACTCCTGAAGGTACCTGGATAAGCCAGTTACCTGACTTTGTACTAGCCACAGGCCTGCAGGCCACAGGACAAGTCAAAACGAAGGCATGCTGTTATTTGGCTTTGCTGCCATCTTTGCCAATTTCTTTTTGGTTTTGAATTGTGGGAAACTGAGGACTGCATAGAGGTAAACATATTGACTGTAGTCCTTAATGAAAAGTATGTTAAATAAAAAAGGCCAGAGATGCATTTTAAACTTAATTCTTTATATACAGCAATCTGACATTTGCAGGGCACCCACAAGTTCAGCACACAAATTTAGAAACAAAAAAATATAAATATATGGTCAAACATAATGAAGCCTGAGCAATACATCAGTGTAGAAATTATTTACAAGCCACAAAAGATTCACTATAAACCCTGTAACAGTTTCCTTATGTGTCTGATCATGATTATACAAGGTTTAAAGTTTTAAATAAAAACAAAATTTAACCGAAACAATTCAGATTTGTCACCCCAAAAATGTGGGTAGCACGATCAGCTGCGATGTTGATGTTCACTAGCCTCCAGGTAGCCCGTTAAGGTTCTGATGACTTGAAATGATGCTCATCAATGGTAGAGAAGACGTGACCTTCATTTATTAGAAACGCCAAGGAGGTTCTGTAAATAACAAAATAATTACATAACCACATGGCCAGTATGTGGAGTCACTTACTAGCAGAACTTAATTTGGACATTGCTAGTGGTTGTCACCCAACATTTAAAAAAATATTAGTATAGACTGGGTCTTTAAAAAACACACAGCCTTTGTAGCGCCTCCATCTAAAGTTACATACATGTACATACAGTACCACACGTATGATGAGGTCTAGCAGTACCTGAGGTCTTTTGTACTTAAGTAGTCCAGCTGCGTCTTCAGGTCTTGGAAACTGATGCCATCATCACGGACAGAGAACCTTTTGATTACGTGCAACACCTTAAACAAAAATCAAGAATTTAATTTCCAACTCTGTGGAGCTGTCATGTTGCATTTCACTAAATGCATGAAGTGTAATCTTTCCACAAAAGGAAAATCCATTCACCTGACAGTACTGTGTGTAACGGCAATTATTTATTTGTCATGGTGGCAGCAGTAACAATGAATTACAGCAGCTTATTGCTGCCACCACTGACAAAAAATTTTAAAATGAAAACCATCTTTTTATAAACAAGACACTGACATTACTACAAATCCCCCCCACACGAAACTTAATATAACATTGACTTTATCTTATTGTCACTGAAATTTACCATAAACTTCAATATCTCATTATCACAGCTTACAGACGTTTAAAATTTTTTTAAAGTGGCCCATAAATGTGGCCACTGTGACTCTCAGGGCCATGCTAACTTTGTACTTCCCACCTCCGTTGTAGAGATTCAACAAAATGGCAAAATAGAGGACTCAAACTAAATAATGTATATTAGAGCAAGCTGTGCAACACTCCTACAGCTTTCCAAAGAAACATGATTCTTACGTGAATCATTTTATACAATTGCCCGAGTCCAGTGGTCAAAGTTAGCTCAAGCCTTAGAGCCACAGTGGTCATATTTACGCAAAACAAAGCCAGGTTCAAAATTAACTTGAATTTTTCTTCAGAGAAATTCACAAGAAACTGAACAGATCTTTGGGTTTTTGTCACGGCAGCTCAAAATCTGTTTGGCTAAATACCACTCCTGGTGAGCAGTGTTGGGGGTAACGCATTACAAAGTAACGCATGACAGAAATCAGATTCCTTTTGTCTGTAACTTCAGTAATCACATTCTAGTTACTAATAAAATTGCATTATTTAAAAAAAAAAAAAAAAACACAACAAAAAAAAAAACCCACACACCTCTAACTAGTAATGTGTAATCCATTACCTTTGAGTAACTACCCCAACCCTACTGGTGAATATGAAAATGTGTCTGATTTGGATCAATTAAAACCACAGACCTGTTCCTGGATAGTGGACAAACCATTTGGTAAGATGTCTACAGGATGTCCACCTCCACTATGCCCAAGGAGTCCTCCAGACAGCGAGGAAGCAGTGGTATTCATATTGACATCAAATGCCTGCATAAACAACACATACACACACGTTTTTGCAGTATTAAAAATGTTACTAACCAGAAGAAACCTAAATCAGGCCAATGAAATGCCATTTCAAAAATATTACATGAATTATGTAGTACATGAAAATGTCAGATTCTGTGTTTCAGTGGAGGAATTCTGTGTCACACAGTCTGAATTTGCTCTATAAGTTAGTTTCTAGCTAAAACATTAAATGGGGGGGGAGGGGGGAGTGAGTTGAGCCAGTTTTTAGTTGGTGTCTTTGTGGATATGACAGTAATATGAAAGTATGTACATATATTTTAGGAAGTGTTGCTGTTTATTGTCATGTCCTGTGCCAATTCATGTATGGACTTTCCATTCTGTACCTCTCCCACTATTCTCCAAATCCACAAGAAGAGTTGAAGCCAGTCTGTTTTCCATTTGCATAATGTCACATAATGGGTGATGCACAAGAATGCGTAAAATTACAGTAAGATATCTGGCTCAGCTTCCCCCAGGTCTTTTGGCTCAAAACTGTCTTCAGCAGTTTAAGGGTAACGTCATGCTAACATTATAGCCTCAAATTTTAACTTTCTTAAGCACCAACACATGTGTAAGATTTTCTCAAACCTGTCTGTAATTGTTCAGACACAAGAATTAGGATTTCTTGAAAATAAAAAAGACAAAACACCATATACAGTTCTTTTATCTTAAATGTGCTCATCACTTATTCCATGGGCCTCTCTCCACCACAGGGTGAGTAAAATGGATGACTCTTCAAAAATGTGTATTTACATGACCAATTTTGTCTATGACTGCTGGGAAACACGGGGTGGCTCAACTTCCCCACAGGCTCAAATCACCCCGCTCTCCCCTACTCTTTCGTATCAAAAAGGTCAGACAAAATATTTTTCTAAGATTTGAATTTCTGTTACAGTTTTCTGTTCGGAACCTTCCACAAGCTCATGTACCTTTCGAAAAATCTGCATATGGGCTTGTACCACTTCCAACATGTGGGATGTGATCTCATTCGGGTCTTTGAGACAGTAGATATTCATTGCCATCAATGACCTTTGACCCTTGTGCAACACACACACACACACAAAATTGATCACAAGTATCACAAAAGCAAGATCTTCAAAGCTAAGTTACCTTAAAATCCCATCATCTCTAAACCCTTTGTATTCCTTACATTGAAACTGCGCAGCGTTCCAGTAACCTTTACATATACTCCAGGAGACGCAAACGTCAGAGCACAGTCCTGTGAGAAACAGAATTTGAAGCCGTTTATGTACCAAAACAGTTCATTTGCTTTCCAGTTGTAGTTCTGAACAGAGCCTGTTGGTGCTACTGGCCTCTGTGGCGTTAACCCACTGCTTCACATTCAAAGGTGGACCAGTCATGTCATCCACAGAATACTGGATGTTAGTCACAAAGGGAGCAAATCCTCTGAGGAGGCCCACTATGGACACCTGCAGAGAGAGGAAGCACAAGCAAATAAAACACAGCACAAGTGGTTATCCTCAGACCACATTCCAATGAAGAATTGGTATTCCCAAGTCACATCATAAACTTTGTGTTTCGACTCTTAAGCAAGACAGTCAGTCTTTTAGTTCATAGAAACACCATTTGGCAAAACAATCTTACCTCAAGAGCCATTTAGCAGGTGTTCTAGAGCTTCCGATCAAATAACATGATCTTCACCAGCAGAAATTTCCAATTTCCTGCTTGCACAACATGGTTGTATGCGGTCAAGATTGTTTTGAAATACACTGAACAAAATTATAAATGCAACGCTTTTGTTTTTGCCCCCAGTCATCATGAGTTGAACTCAAAGATTTAAGAATCTCTTCATGTACACAAAAGGCCTATTTCTCTCAAATATTGTTCACAAATCTATCAAAATCTGTGTCAGTGAGCACTTCTCCTTTGCCAAGATAATCCATCCACCCTTGAGGAAAAATTCTAATTCAATACTTGCTAAATGGCATGTTAGCATTGTCACATTAAGCTTGCTGATTTTAGCATTTAGCCAACAACACAGCTGTATAACAATCACAAGTATGGCTGCAGACTTAGCTAATCTTTGGATATCAAGTCCCTCCAAGCTTCCATGGCTAAATCCAACTGAAGACACGAGTCATTGATGTTAACGTTGAGTCCTTTTTCACTTTGTCATGTCTATTCACCAGATTCAAGACTCGAGACCAAGTGATGTCGATCCCTCAGGACTGTGCACAACTAAATAGCACTGTACAGTCATATAGAGTGAAACCCTCTTCTCTAGATTACAGTTGGCATTCATACTCATACCTGGTTGAGTTCCCAGTTGCAGACTGCAAAGGTATCATTGCTGACTTGAGAAGCTGACAGCAGCTGAGAAACTGTGCAGGGCAAAATGTGAAGAGCAGCCCTCTGTGGCAAGATCAGGATGAAGGAATAGATTAAGTCTACATGAACACATTTCCTTCCTTTACACAGTATTTCACTCATCAACAGAAGATAAGACACACCTTTGATATCACTGCTTTGTGGCTGGTCACCCCAACAGGGGACTGACTGCAAGCTGTGGAAACCAAAAGATACAAAGCGTATTGATATTTTAAAAAAAGAGAAGATATTGTTCAAAGCTCTTTTGTTAGGCTAACTTACCTTGGTTCCACATGACAAAATATCTTCAAATAACTGTGGCATGGGCAGCTACTATTCCTCAATGTTAGACTAAGACCATCAGAGGCCAGTACATAAACAACAGTCAGGCTAGAGTCACTAGGAGACTAAAGTCAACTTTTCTGGCAGCTTATTTATGTCCAAGCAGGTGAATTTAATTACAGCAATTACCTGGGGTGCAGTGCAGGACCAAAGACAAGGGGCTAGGGAGAAATGGTCAGCATGCTCGATTTCTTCAAAGAAATTCAATTATTTCACTTCATTTTATTAAAAATCCATCAATTCAACAGGTGATTGACAGGCGTTCACACCACTTTCGATAAACTTAATTTCTCTTCAAAATATCTTACAATGACATAAGAGCAAAAAATTTTCATACAAAAGTGCGAGCTGACCTTTTGCCTGGCGGTGAGTTTGGACCTATTATTTTGACACGTTTCCAACTGTGTTCTTCATCAGACACAGGACTTTTTTTGTGGTAAGTGCAGCCCTGATCTAGGACTCATTAGGTCTTGCTGTCCTGCATCAGTATCTTCTAGAATTTGTATATATATCAGTCGCTGAGCAGCTCATAACATTAAGGATGTCAATCTGATATCACTGAATGTTAGGCAATCGTCTTAGTGACCTGTAAGGTGGGAAAATGAGGCTACACAGGTGCAAAGTAACAACAAAATATCACTTACTCCAGACCAAGAAAGGGCTCCTCAATGACGGTCAATACAAAAAGACAGCGCAGCAGCAGTGTGCTCTGTGCTGCCACTGGTGGCCAGAAGCTACTTTACAGCAACATGACTGGGGGGGGGGATCATTACAGTTAAATGCAGTTAGTATAAATCAGTGATTTGAAATGATACTATAGTTGTCCTAAATCCATACTACACATGAATTCTAAGCAGGTAGTGAGAATTTTGTGCGTTACTGGATAAGTGATCAAATGAAGTATCCTCAGAAATCCTATACCATCTGTGATTCGGTTCATCTGCGGTTCTCACTGATTGTAATTAAATAAAAGAGACCTTAGTCATGTTTTTTGTAAATTTGAACATGCACCCCCCTCCCCAACCTTCCGATGAGTTACCTTATGTATTGTTACAGTATGGTTATACATTGTATGGTGGTCCTGGATCGGGGATAGTAAAGTGGTAAGGTTTCAAAGAAGCCAACTCCATTTCCAAATAAAGAAAAGACCCACGTTGTATATCAGCTTTTCTTACACAAAATCACAAACAATAGGCCAATGAAAAACATACAATTATCACTAGCACACCAACAGTATTGTATATCACATCTTTTCCATGACTGAAGTGAACTGAAGCTGAATTAAGAGCTGAAGTAAAATTGAATCCATCACAGTAATTTACATGTCAAACAAGTCAGGCTCCTAAAAACAGAGCACATCTAGTCAAATGTACATCAAACTTGTTCATCCCCTGTTGATCCTATACAATATTTACACATGTGCAAAAGGAATTTAATACAACAAATCAAGGGCTGAAATCTATTAATCTCTCCCCAGACCTAGCATTTGTTTGGCAAACATCTCAAACCTCACAGGAAGCCAAGTGTCTTCCTCCTCCCCTTCTTGTCTAGAAGGGTTGAAGGAAGAAATCTGTCGAGAAATGACTCTACCCATCATCCTTTGCTCTGCTTAGAGGTCTGAGGATATGGGTGACCTACTTTGAGTCCAAACTTTGATGCTCGTGAATACAAAGCCACAAATGCCACATTCTTCTAGCAACGCAACAATGTCCAAAGCAGCATAGATGCCCTGCAGTACAGACAGGCGTTTTAATACAGATTCGTGGTATTGCTATTCATACCAAAGCATCACGCTGAGAGCCGGAGAAACGTGGTGCATCTCAAGCACAACTTCTGCCAATTCTGTGTTTAAGTGCAGTATCACTGAGGCCACTCTAGTGTCAAAAAGAAAACGGCAAATTTCAGAAATAAGGCAAATCTCAATTGCATTATGACAGGAAAAAAAACTATTATAGCTAAGGGGAGAATTAAAGGCCATCTAGAAGATAAATATTGGCAACAAGTAAGAGGAAATTGATTTTCTGCCAGTTTGAGAGCAATGAAAAAGCCAGGATTGTTTGGTTTTATAGGTTCCTCTAAAAGTGCACAAATTATGTATGACCTGAAAGGCAAAAGGGGTCCCGAGCATGATCCTCTGCCAAGTGTTGCAACAACTTAATAGGCTTAGAATTAGCCTGTCGGTAGCATGAAGAAAGGGATTACTGTAAGATCCAGAGCCAAAGGAAATGAGGAGCAGTGACACAGTGAGGGGAGATCAAGTTAAACACAACAGTATTATGTATCAAAAAAAAAAAAAAAAAAGCACGGATCCTCTGGCTCATGGAGGATTGTGTGTGCTGGTGTCTTCTCTCGCTTCTTCCCTGAAGGTGAGAGGCACTGCATGCATAAGAAGACTGTTGGATGACATTGTGCTCGCCTGGTAAACAAATACCAACGCAGTTATCACACTGAATCCAGCCTCGCAGAGCTCCTTGATATAATGCAGTAGGTAGTTATCAGGAATAAATATAAACAACTAAATAAAAGTGCTTTCAGTGAGATTCACTGAATCCCTCACCCCTTTTACTCATTCAGGTCTCTCAGATGTGAATATTCATGTCACTGCTCTTGTAATACAGGCAGCTCACCCTTCAGATAATTAAATCTATGTGTAGGCAACATAGGGATTTCTGTCAAGATTAATTTGTTTGCCATGTGTGAGGGAGTCACTCCACCAAATCTTTTGAATGTAGGCCAGCCTGGTTTATTTATTGTGTGCTCAGCTGGTTGGATTTTCTTATTAAAGGATAATTTTGGTTTATTACAAGTTGGGTTTGACTTTCATAGTTTTAGACATTATTCTTATTGGCTATGATAACATTGTCCTCACCAAAATAATTGCAGAGTTTGGGGAACACAGCGACACGACACGGAAGCCTGTCCCCCTGACTTACTAAGTGATTAAGTTCAATTCAAAATGAACAAGCGCCAACAGTCCTCAATTACCTTTTTACAGGCCTTCTACTCACTAACTGTTGCTCCTTACAAATCTGTCACATACCAAGAACGGGATATTCTGATGTTCTTGCATACTAATTCAATTGGGTCACAATTTAACACGACCATACACAGCCCAGGTTTTGACCTAGTCATGTTTAATTTATGTTACATTTAATGGACAAATGCCACTTTCCACAGCATTTACAGCCGAAGTGCCCATCCCTGTTAGTTAAGTACATCATTATGTGGACTTACAGGTATGTTAGATTAGAGAACATTAGCTAGTTACAGCTAATAACATCTGACAGTGACAGCAGTCACTTCAGCCAGCAAAATAAAGAGCTGTTTCTGACATTTAGGGCCTGAAAAAGGAGAAGGGTTAAATGTTTCAAAAATGACCATTACATCTGAGTAGTAAACCTGACACAGTTAACCTGTAAACTGCATTCCAATCATGCTAGAACGGAGAGCTAGACAGGGCTATCAATAGTAACTAAGCTGGGCAGTGTTTAGCAAACGCTAAATTAACTTGGTACAATGTTATAACCAACAGGAATGATGGCTAAAACCATGAAAATAAGACTCAAGTTGCAATACAGAAAATTAGATTTTTCTCTCCATGTGGAGCACTTAATTAAAACAGTTTTGTGTTTAAGGCTCTATCAATAAAAGGTGACCTGTCTTGATTGTTTTACATTCTGATATACTGGTTAGGGGTGTGTGTGGGATCTCTAAGTCTGTAATGGGGTGAAAACAGAAAACACCAACCACAAGCACCTGCTGGCTGGCCCCTTACTGATAAAATGTTCCCCACTCAGACAACCAACAAAGCAGCCTTCAGAAGAAAATAAAGTTATCTTCAAGCACCAAAGTTTGGTATTTTCCTCCTCCAAGACTACTGAGCAAAACCAACATGTACATGTTTGTCTACAAATATCACCAGTTGTATGTTTTTATTACCTGAGCATTCAGGGCATTTCTGCATTTGATGCCAAAACAGAATCTTGATGTAAATACTAATGCTGGTGGTTATGTACCAGGCTAAAGTCAGTTTGTAGGTCAGGTTCTGTCAAAGCCACAAATGGCCTCAAAACATTCCACACTTTGAGGTGACTGTTTTAATATCGGCCCTTTGGATAAATGTACGCTGTACTGGTCACAGGATAATGTCTCATATTGCATTTAGTAACAATTAGCACCGAGTCCACGATGGTATTTGTAGACAAACTGCTTCACTGTCACATTTTGACATTCACTTCTAATTGAATTCACTTTTGGGATCATTTTGCTCTTCCATCACGCTTGAGTGATTCTGTAAGGAGGAAGTGGAAGCTGTGATGTGATTAGCCTGAGACTAAGCTGCAGTTTGGAGCAGCAGCAGTGTGGGTGTCACACCTCCCTCCTTCAATATAAAGACAGAGCTAGTAGAGGACAGTATGTGCTTGGACAGTGGATGAAGTTTAAGCCATGATAAAAACAATGACTATTCTAATTATTGTTCCCTAGTTAAAACACAATAATCCCCTATTATGTGACCATCTAGGTTAACAGTAGCTGATGAGATGTGTACATGTGCTTGAGTCTGTAGTGCCGTTTGCTCATCCATCACGTGTCCCAGTCCAGCTCTCTGCAGGCGATTCGGACAAGTCTTAGCTCTAGTTCAAAGGCGTCGGGCCGTTCCTGAGGGTTGGCCGACAACATCTCCCTGATCAGCTGCTTCATGTGGCTGTTCATGCTCTTTTTTCTGGCGGGGATCAGCAGCTCCATCTTTGGGTTCTCTAACAGGGCCTCCCCTAAGGGTACAATCTCTGAGCCCTGCTGCACATAGCTCCCCAGCAGCTCCTTCTGAGTCTCCACATCCACAAAGGTGATGCGCTCCACCATGGCCCAGATAATCACTCCCAGGGCGAAGATGTCCGCCTTGGCCGTGTAGTGGCCCTCCCAGACCTCGGGGGCCATGTAAAAGTCTGTTCCGCAAGCTGTGGACAGGAAGCACTTGTTGACGCTGGCTGGCTCTTCAGGGTTGAGCCCAGAGGTGGAGCAGACCTTGCTCAGGCCGAAGTCGGCCACTTTGAGGGTGGG